ATTAATTGAAATAAAATAAGCTAAATTTTCTAATTGCGGTCGCTCCTCGACAGAAAATGTCAACGCCGCCGATTGTATTTCGGACATGATATAAAGCTGCTCATAGAAAAAACCATCAGCCGTTCGGAGGCGGCTTAGTATAAATCGTAGGTCCCTCCATTTGTTGGAAAAACATCAAGACGCAAAACCACAAATTGGAGAAGGAACTCGGCCGAAAATCGCTTCAGCGCTTTGAAAACGCCAATTATATATATATATATATGTATATGTATATGTCCGATGTTTCTCGTTCACCGTCTGCGACATTCGTGGTTGTCAATGCGTTAAGGTTTGTAAATGTCCATCGCGAGACATTTCTCTGGCAAACTCCCCCAATCGATTTGTCGGTTGTAAGCATCATGCACTCTTCTGCTTGCTGGTGAGTACTCTCTCGGATAGAAACCCACTAGCCAATCTGCAAGATTGTAGTCTCGACGTGGAACCACCCTAGTCTTTTTATTGAAGGCTTTTTCCTACACCTAAGCAGTTGCGAACCTTTGTTGTGACAAGATATTGCTCCGAAAAGATGTTAGGTCCCCGAGACGTATGCACTTATAGGACACTTGCGACATGTCTTTCGTCAGGCGACAGCCACGTAGCTTGATGAATTATTTTCTGCCAAAATCTGGTACTTAAGATAATCATATTTCTGCCCTCGGTGACGTTGATGGGCTTCAGCCTGTTTGAGTTTGTTTGATACGTTCATATGCCGAGGTGAATGTTAATACCCACAAATCCAACACTAAATTTTGCTGCTGTAGTAGATTTCATAAGGACTTGCCTTCTTCCGCCCCTTCCCAATCATCAACCCCCACCTTACATTACGCGATAGCAAAGTATATAAAATATTAAATATTTGATTACCTTTGCTAAAAGAAGATTTGCTTACCCTCAATACAGTTGTACCACCCAAAAAAGTAAGTGCATGTCTATATACGCAATGTGGCCCTGTAAGCAGATATGTATTGGTGTGAATTTTTTATCTTTATGCCTTATTTATCTTTGTTTTCGATCTGTTCTGCATTGCGGTATTTAAAATGCAAATTCACAACTTTTTACGCGCCCAAAAAGTGCCCTAAGCACTTGGGGTTCAGTAAAGCAACGTTTTTTTTTTTTTTTTTTTTTTGTTGTTTAACGTACTGTACACGTATATGTATGGTAACAAATTAACGGTCATGATAACTGAGAAAAAAACGGATAAAAAGTTTCAATTTTATACAACTTTTTACGCAACAAGTAAGAAAGAGCTGAGTTGCCGTTGAACCGAGTGTTATTTAACCGATTTTTTGTGGAAGAGTTCAATCGGTACTTATTATAAACATGCATATATATATATATATGTATGCTATATTATATAATTCTCGCTTTATACGCTAAAGGTGAAGTTATTTGGCACTTAGCTCAAGCATATATTGTATATTGGGAAGATTAGGTTAAACAGGCTGGCTTATAGGCGAAATACATCCACAGTATTGCTAGATATACTACATGCGACATAACTGTATTGCTGTACTCCTATTGTATCTCTAATGTGAAGAAGGTTGTTGTCATTTTCGTCTCTTGACCATTGTCGATTGAAAACCATGTAGCCTTACTGCGCCAAGTAAGCAAAGCCTTTGTCTTCCGTATGCCGGGAACAAATACAAACTTTGTATTGTATGTTTTACACATAGTCTTCGCCTTTCTCTAGTGCTTAGCTCGTTCTCAGAGTCTATTCGCCTGGCGAAGTAGTATTACTTCTAGCTGTTCTTCACTTCCTTGAACGAAACTGGAAGGTCCGATTACCTTCAATACCGGTGTGGCCTTGCATTCAGTAAATGTACATTCTTCTCTTTTCAGACTGTACCTGGATCGCTTCTTTCATAATGCGACCACAGCTGACTTCGTGCTGTATGAAAGTAAGGTCTTTATGACCGCTTGGTCATCCACTTTCATGGGTATTCTTTTCCTTTGGAAGCCAGCAAAACGCAGTAACTCTGATTGAATGGGTTACTGGATTACCTTAGCTTTCATAAAAACTTACTTTAAAGCCTCGTTCTTTCATCGCCCAAAACAACTTTGGAAAAAAATATCATATTCCTAGACTCCGTTCATAATTCTGCTGGGCTATAACGAATTAGGTATGAAGGAAAAGAAATATTTACTCTAAAGTTGGATAATCTTAAAAGATTTTCGGTTGAATAAATGTTTGTATATATATGTATTGTATATGTATTTATGTATCCCTGCATTGCAGCTTTTCTGTTTACAGAAATTATTATAGTGGAAATTCAGTTGGACGAAGTTTCTCAAAGATGGTCAGCAGAGCAGAGCTTTAAGTAGTGGAAGTTAAAAAGTTTTAAACGGTACTTTGCCTTAATTGAATAGAAAACTTGCCATTTCCCAAAAAAAAAATTTTTTAGCGCTCCAAATTTGTGCGTGAGTGTTGGTGTGTGATGCATAGAAAACTTAATTTTTTACAAATTTAAATTTTAATTTTAAAAAATGCAGTTAAATATTTTTTAGTTCACTCTTCATCACTGCTCTGTCACTTCTCACCCTAATTTCTGAGATTTACTAATTTGTTAATAACCTTCGTATCCACAACTGCTCTAATGGTTGTCTCAAGGGTGTTCCAGAGAAGAGGTTGAAATTCTCTGCCTTGGTGCGATCAGAATAGGTAAGACAGGAGAGCTGTCGGCCAAAGTCCTTACACCTTTCATAACCAATTCAAATCATCAAATTTTACGGTATTCAATTAAGAATTAAATACTAATTCTCACATCGGAACAGATCGGTTGTAAGGTGATATATTGTATAGTCCTCCAAATTCAAAGTTTGCTAAAACAACGGCAACAGCCTTTATTTGTAATAATATCCCTTTGTTTTTAGATTCCAACAGAGATTCTTTTTTCTCTAGTAAGAGCAAGGATTTGGCTTCATTCATACTGATACCTTTGAATGAATTTCAATGTCTGAAGACTCTCCATAGGCGTGTAGCGCTTTTTAATTTTGGGTTTTCACAAACTTAAAGTAATATTGTACCTCCTAAAAAAGAAAACATAGACGAGACAAAAACACACAGATTTTCTTGAAGTCGTAGTGTTTCTTTCTGCAAACAACAAGAGTTACTACTCTTACCAGTGGAAGAGTGCGAACTGCCTGATTGTTGCAATTAAGAGAATTGAAGCCAATGTTGACTCAGGTGATATAAAACAAGCTCTAGAGGAGCAAGGAATTGAAGTTAACAGTAATAAAGTGCCGCAGCCTATGTTTAAAGTGTTCTTATCGCCAAGCTCAGCTCAACCAACTTATGAAGAACGAAATGCACCCAATTTACGGTTTAAAATACTTTTGACACCGAAGAATCACGGTGGAAGAAGCGCTCAAGCGTAATGATCCCGTGCAATGCACAAACTGTCAGGAATTTCGGCACACAAAATCCTATTGTAATTTACGTACCGTCTGCATAGCGTGGTGATCTTCACCATTCTACCAAGTGTCCCTTAAATAAAACGGATGCAACACAAAAAAAAGTGTAGCAACTGCTCTGACAATTATAGAGGTTGTCCGGTTTACAAGTATTAAAAATCTATACTTGCTCAGGGTACACAAGCCAAATGGAACCAACTCCCATATACTGCTTCCATTCCAAGACCTTCCAACCTACCCAGCGCAAAAACTGGTCAAATGACATATGCCAACGTAGTAAAAGTCAATAAACAGGCTCCACATTTTTAGTTCTTTCCAGTCCTGGAGTTAAGGCCATGATTCTTAATCTAATCCAGTACATGACACAATTTATGTCAACCATGCGAAGAATGCTTGAAGACCTCATAAAGGCGCAAAACCAAATACTCCAAACCTCGTTGCCCAAAAAATAAGGGAACTCAGGCTTTGCTTATAGAATGCTTATGCTGTAGACCAGCATAAATTATCACTCAAATTATTCTTACAGACTCACGAAATTGATGTTATGCTTTTTTCTGAAACACATCTAGCATTGATTGCTTCGCACGTGAACCATTGAAAGTTAATATTCTAGGGTTGGCAAGCCACATAAATAAAATTGAGTAAGCTTTGTTTTGTCTATTATATTATCATCGCATCCATCGCATCAGTCGTTTATGCCAGGTGAACCCTTGATCCATTGGAATCCGCGAGCTGCGAGAGAATCCTTCGTCGTCCTGCAGCCTTTTTGTAGACCAAAAATTCGTCCTTATTTGCTTTCCTCTAGAGGTTTTCAGCTGGTGTCTTAGTTTTATTGAAGAACTTCCTACATTTCCTTGGTGTCCAACTCTCGATTTAGATCTTCTGTTGCACTTTAAAGAAAGGCGAGGGCAAGTCTCGTGAGTAGCCATGTATGTATAGTATATTTTAGTATGATTCCTTCTTGAGAATGTTTAGATGGGGGACAGATCTATAACTATTTCCAAATTTTAATATGCTTGGGAAAGTTTACACTACATAGTGTCAGATCTATGACTTCTTCAGGGTTCTTGTTTATAAATAGCATACCCGTTACGTTGATGCTTGTGCTGCCTTATTAGTATGTTTTCGGAATATGTTGACTAATAACTTGAATCATTTTGAAATAATGATATGCATATATGATATTTCTAGCAATTTCTGAACTAAACGTCATGTTTGCTCGGTGAAAGACACAATTTTCCACAAATTTGTAAGGTAATGTTTGTGTACATGAAGTAAGGGTGGAAACATGTGGTAATAACAATTGATTTTCCAACATTTTTTCGACAACCCTTTTGCAAGAAAAATACGTGTACCTTGTCATCCTGGAGGTCCTACGCTATTGGCTGTAAAAGTGTGCTATGCATCGTCTAATGCGAAAAATACAATGCTAAAAAGCTTTTTTAATTGAAAGGCATTAATCCGAAAACTTTTCAACTATATTTTTTCTTAATGAATCTATCTTCGGAAATAGTTCTCAACTATTCTATCTTTCACTTTTTCTCTTTTAGTGCCGATCGTGATGGAAATTCAGAGCTTACAATACAAGAACTTGCCGTGTACATCAATCAAAAAATCATTGAACACATTGAAGAGGCGATCCAGAATAATCCACGTGAATTTCAAAGTGTCGACAAATCACCAGCTGACGGTTTAATAACCTGGGAGGAATATCATACTTTCTTTCTGAAAGAGCACGGCATGACTGATGCGGATATTGATGAACACAATGAGATCAAACACACGGCGTTGAATCGAAAAGCACGCGAAGATATGATGCGCGATAAAGCACGTTGGTCGGAAGCGGCGCGTACAGATCTTTTCAGTCTGACAATCGACGAATACCTATCATTTCGTCATCCCGAATCGAGCATATCCAATTTGCTCGAATTAGTAGATGATCTATTGCGGCAATTCGATCAGGATGGTGATGATCAGTTAACAATTGATGAGTTTTCCGAAGTGAGTGTAGATGATGATAATGATTTGCGCCGAAAGTCGCTCATCTCACAGACAGTCGTGGAGAGAAGGGAGGAGTTTAAGCGGATAATTGATAAGAACAATGATGGCAAAGCAGATAGAGAAGAGCTATTGAATTATGTTAATCCGAAAACACCGCGATATGCTCTGCAAGAGGCGGCTACTCTGTTTAGTTTAAGTGATGAGAATAAGGATGGACGTTTGACACTGAATGAGGTAATTGTGAATAAGAGCAGAAAATTAAACCTCTCTTAATTTATATGTACTCACTCTATTTCAGTTAACGGCCAATGCGGAGATTTTCTTAACATCAAAAATGATCGACACAGCAAATAGTTTTCATACGGAATTTTAATAGCGTAAATTTGTATATACATACGTACATAGCTGACATATAACTTCAAATGAGTAGCAGAAGCGGTCTAATTTTTGGGAAAATGATACTCAATATTTTAAAATTATATAAAACTATATAAAAGACTAGAAAGTGGTATTGTGCAATTAATTGAGAACTTTTTACTATGATTTTCAAAATTTTGGATTTGGATCCAAAGATTAACGTACTTTCTGCAATAGATTACTTCTGGGCCACGCATTTAGACTAGAAACTCTCAAATTTATTTTCTATTTTCTCATTATTAATATTCAATAAATAACGCGTCTTAGCTAAAACGTAACAACAATGCCCAAGTCAATGGAGATTTACAGAAGTCAATTTGTAGAGAAATATACACTTTATAATAAACAATGCACTATAATAGAAAAAATGACAAGATATGATCGAAATTTATTATGCTCAATCATTTGTAAGATATACTTTTGTTAAATACTCCACTTGCAAATTAAATATGAAAAACTTCGCAATTTTCAAATCATAAGTTTTTTGAAAAATATTTTTAAAATTAATTAATAAGTACTCATAAAGTATATATGAACGATAATTGAAAGAGTTCTTCAGTGTAAAAAATATTATGCACGTAATGTGGAGTTATCAGTGATATTATAATTTAAGTAATTATTTTTATACAAAATCAGTATAAACTTCTACAATAATATTTTGAAATAAAAACTTCATTATTGTTTCATACTCATTTATGTACATACATACTTATTAAGTTTCGAAAATACTCGAAATTAGAGAATCACTTAAAAAAATGTATGAAATAATTTTGAATAAATATTTGTTATTGAACTTTCATCAAGCAATTCATATTCCTTTACTTCCACCAACCGATCGTTCAAATTGGGCATACATACATACATGCAACAGGGTGCCCCATCTTCTGTATTTCAACATTTAATAACTCTGTCGATTGTTACCCGATTTTGACAAAGGAGTAAGATTTATTTAGCATATACTTTGACATTTATTTCGAATCAGTTTTAGAAAACAATGCCGATTAAATCCCCACCTTAATTCGCTACACAAAAAGCAGCTCTTTTTTGTGCATTACATTGGCCAGCACTTCAGGAGTTATAGCAGCTGTTTCGACTCGTTTGTTACCTTTCAGTTCGTCGAAACGTCTTTATCTTGCTGGCGTAAACTTTACTTTTAGCCGTCGAGGTTTCTCCAACTTTGAAAGCAGTGGTCCGATGATGGTTTTAAAGCACACTCCGTCCCAAACAGTTCCCCAAATTCGACAGTTTTGTTTATCGACTTCGCCGGAGAGAATGAAATGGGCTTCATTCGTAATCAAACTTGTGTCCCGCAACTGAATTATTGTTTTCAGCGCATTAGTTCGATGTATATTTGCTCATGGTTAAAATGGCACTGAATGGCGTTTCAGCATCGAGCACATTTGTCTAAATCGTTTTAAAGACGACAGAGTTATTAAATGTCGACATACCGAAGGTCTAGATGGCGCACTCTGAATGTACAAATGTAGACAACTTGTTTTGCAGAAACAACATAAAATGACGCAGAAAACCTTCTGAATAGCTGTAAACTGGGTATGAAGTTTGAACTTTAAAGGAGCGATACAACCCGAGTCTGTCCTATTTGTTGCAGTAAATACTAATTTACCACAGCAGCTCACCACCACTCTCATGGGAAGCTGATTGAGCTAGATTGAATCTCATTAGAAGGAAAATTCTCGTAAGTATGTACCGAAACAGTTTATTAATAAAACCAGGTCCTGTTGTTAAGAATAACGAATTGTTTGATCAGAAGGACTCTTTTTTCCGATGTTGAACTAGAACTACCTTCTATGGAACATATACATTTACCAAGCTCTGATTGGTATAAAATCTGTGGAATTTCCCTGCTTTGGTCACAGCCCCAGCATCGTCGAACCCATTGAACCCAGACATTGTCTTGCATAACAGATATTTCTGTTTTCTTCTTTATTGGAGTAAGCAGAGCTTCCGCGATTGTTGCCGAGTTAACAACAACGCGTCATTCATTCCTTCTGGTTTGCTTGACGCATTTGGAAATATCAAGTACATTCAGGTACTTCTCCAGATAGTTTTTCCAACGATTAGGGGTCTTCCTCTGGTTCCAACGATGGGTACTGAATCGAAACTTTTCAAAGCTGGAGTATTCTTATCCACCAATGATTATTATCTTTTGATTTGCTGAACTACATCAATGTGGCCGTTTCCAACTTGTAGAAGACCATAAACTGTAAAGCAAAACCTTTCTCTCGATAACACCTAACGCCGACTCGTCATATGTTATCATCGTCCATGCTTCGCCCCATATAGCAGGACGGAGAAGATGAACGTCTTGTAGAGTTTCGTTTTAGTTCGTTGAGAAAGGACTACACTTTTAAATTTCATACGCAGTCAAAAGAAGTAAAGAGTGATTCTGGGTTGGATTTCCAGGCAGACATTGTTGTTAATATTGATTCCGAGATAGACGAAGTTATCTACGAATTCAAAATTATGACTGCCAACAGTGACATATACTTCGCTTCCTTATCAAATCTAGAGAAAACAGTACTCACGGCGCGGTGAACTTTTGGTCTTTCTAAACGTCAGTTTACATAGCCGTATAAGTTATACGGGGATACCAAATTCAGACATAGGCGGTAGCCTCTATTCTTACTGTCGGAAGATCCTCTTTTCACGGTTATTTTCCATGAGTTGACACTTGGTGAATATCTGCTCAATGGTTGACTTAACAGGTCTAGGGCAACACTGATGGAGTCCGATCATTTTGTTGGCGGTGGGTTCAGTCTTTCATCCACTCGATAGAGCCTTATATGTGATATTTAGGAGGCTTATCCCATGGTAATTGGCACAGACCATGGGATCGCCTTTTTTGTGGATTAGGCAGAACACACCTAAATTCCAATCGTCACTGTTGTTCTCTCCATTTTTCACTTCGTAAAACAGAGTTTGAAAAGCAACGTCAGAAACGATTTTTTAAATAAATTCAGTGCAATGCAAGTGAAGAGTATTATGATTAATTCGCTTTTGTACACCTGAGCAGAGTAGTTCTCAGTAAGTGCTACCTCATGTAAGGGCACAGGCTTTAACCGCAGCCGTGCCACATCCAAAATATATAGAGTATTAATTAATGCATTATAATATTACTTCCAATATATTCTTTCCAATTTTCTCTCCGTGTGTATGTCACATATGAAAGACAAATTCCTCATGGCTTTTATTTGTTATTATTTAAACTTAAAGCTTTAAAAGTTTGCGAGCCACTGTGTGGTTGTCACAACTGCCACAAATACGGATAATCTGGTAATTATCGGTGTGGCATTTATAGGAAAAATGGAATAAAAATTCCGCATTAATTATTCTTCGAAAGTTTTTAAGTAAAGGCATTTTCGCGTGTTTTATTTTTACTAGTTCTTGTTAAAGGCAGCGGTTTGGTATATCAAACATCACTTTGTAAAAGGTAATATTTTCGTTCAATTTTTCCAAGAAATGTTAGTTTCTTCACTAACAGCCTTATTCTAACATATTTCGTTTCATTTTCCTTTGAATTTGGGTTGCGGGCTCGTAGCGGCGGACCGGCCGAAAACCGCATCAGTCGACAAAATGCGCTAATTATATATTAATAAATGTTGTAAAATAGGGTTCTTGGCGTAGAACTACTCTTTCTAACCGTAGAGAAACCCCGAGAGTGATTTTTTAAAAAAAAACTTCTAAATGGACTGATTTGCAGTTCATTTCTTTTAGGTGAAGTAATTTTTAATGTCTCTATCCGACTATAAAGACATTGTTTTTAAAATCTATTAAAACTAATTTTGAACCATTTCGCCGTATATCTCAAGATTTCAATTGATTTAACAGACACACTTTTCGTAACGAAAAATATTAAACTATACTAACCTCTCTTAATTATTAACTCTCTAAAGTTCTTTAATAACATAACCAATCGTATATTTAAGCTGATGAATTTGTTTGTCTACAGCTGAGTAGTTTTTAATCTCGACGCTTTACCAACTCTTGCCTTTTATAACTCGATAAATTCCATAGGCCACGCGGTTGGCGTACCCCGTGTTGGCTGGACGGAAGGAGGGTAACCGTTGGGCTTATTAGTATTTTTTGAAAATTATTTAATCATTCAGATACGGTTAAAAGCTACTGGTCAAATACTTTGTCAAGGCGCTCTCCAAGACACGCGACTGTTGTACTCATATATGTATTAGACTTTGCTCCAAATCATGTTTCTGTATAAGTTCTAGCACATAATTTCATTTATTCATACTCTAACTGAAAACGTTTAGTTAACTCTTTTTTATTGGTATCACAATCACTTTTCTCAATCATTGCTTTCTGCGAGAAATGCCCCTAAAATTCAATGAGCATAGTTGGTTAAAATTTTCATCTATAAACTCCTAAAAAAAAGACTTATTTTTTCATGCCTTAATTAAAATATATGAGAAACTGAAAGTGAAAATGGATATGTTATCTTTAATTTACTAGAAATCGACTAGAAATCAATTTGAGCGATTTATTCTTACAAAATTACATTGCCACAAAGGAACATATTGCATATACATATTATATTTAAAAACTTTTCACTATGGTATCAAATAAAGTGAGCAGAAATTCTACAAAACTTAAACTATTCAACCCATTTGCGTATTTTCAATTTATTCATGCTCAAACACAAAAACCCTTCCAAACTTTGTCAATCAGTTTCATGTGACTAACAACGAAATGCCACAGAGCTTCCAACGTACTCACAGCGTAAGTCCGCATGCACTTGTATGTACATATATATACAATATGTATGTATGTGTATATTTTAACAAAATTTAATACATGAAAAATTTATAGCGTACAAACAATTTTGAAGCTATCAAGTGCAATTCGCAGCTCAATGTCATTTTATCAGCAATGAATGACGTTCGTAAAAGACGGATGAGAATCGGAAAACGTGAGTATTTATAGTAAAAGGAGAAGAATAAAAATTGTTTGAACGATATAACAGCCACCCACGTAACTTTATACCTAAACCCAAACTCATACACCTTTTAACAGTACCATACAACATCGAATGTAACAACAATCGCATATTACTTTTCGGTCCAATGACATTTTATTACGCTCACTGACGAAAATGCAAACTGCATTTTATTTCCACCTCACTGCCATGCTTCCTGCTAACGTGTTCGGTTCAGCTTCAGCTTCAGCTCCAACTTGCTACTACCGTCATTGCACCCTGTAGATAGTGCATACGAGTATTGGAGGCTTTAGTTGCCATTGCCACTGCTGCCATTCGTTTTTACTGTTGCTTTTGTTACTTCTGTCGCTGTTGGCAATTTACACGTGCCACTATAAAAAGGAAAGTACTTACACATCAACCCATTCTCTTACATACAAATACAAATACAAATACAAATAAAAATACAGATTAACAATATACACCTAGGTAAATACAGACACACACGCAGATAATCGCATATCGACCATGGAGATTTCCACAGATATGCAATTGCATTTCACTGCTACAGGATGTATATCCTTTTCCTTTTCCGGCAATGTCATTGCAATAGACAGAATAGACGAGGCGAAAAAATCAATTCACAGAATTTAATCCTTATGAATAGTAGAATAATAATTGATAATGATATTGCATTCCAGATAAATTAGCTGCCATTTCAACTTAGAAAAACTTAATTTCTTTGTTTTTGCAGAACTCTTTAATTTTTCCAAAAAAAAAGTTTACTTCGATTTTGATACGTTTTATCTCCGATTAGACCTCCAACAATAGTACATATTATATGCCATTTTCATTTCGTAGACAAGTGCATTTTGTCCAACAGATGACAATCTCGTAGGATTCTGCTAGAATTATTCACTAAAAGCACTGTTACAAAAAATGTACTTACTTTTGACTTCAAAACCGATTTCTTTGCGTACCTCACATCCGGTTTGATTTTCTCTATTTTCAACTATTGTATTCTCGTCGCCCAGCCTGGTAGCGTAAGTGAGTCTTTTGTCAGATGCGTGGTTGCAGCTAGAACTAGAGGGCTGGAATCCAGCGTCGAACAGTGAGGCCGTGCACTGGCTTTGGGATCCGCCATTTAAAAAATAACCTAAAAAAAAGTGCAAAATGGTCCCTGAAAAGAACTTCCAGTTTTTATGGTGACGCCTACGCAATGTGACCGAAATGAATGTTTTAGCATGGTTTAATTCATATCACAAAAAATAAAATTTGAAAACATATTTTACATTTAATTTAGTGAACTGCATATGTAGTTATGATTTGAACAATTTCAATTTTAATTTCGAAAACTTTTTTGATTTCCAAAATTTCTTTTAACATCACTTTTTTTTGTTTATTTTTTTTTTTTTTTTTTTTGATTAGTTATTGAATCTAATTCTAAAAAAATATATAATTTATTAAATACAATAAAAGAAACTCTGATGATTATCTTGATGTAACATAAAAGTTTTGAAATATCTCCATCAAAGTTATTTAATTGACTTGAACTTTTTTAGACAGAACGCAAGGAGGAAATGAAAGATTCGAAGGACCCATAAAATCGCATGAGCAAGGTTTCCCATTCTATTTTTTCCTAAAATAAAATTCTTTTTTTCTTTTGAATGAATTGGTGATACAGTAACTCGCTTCCATCTTTTAACCAATTTGGTTATAATGCTGTTACTTATTTTATGTACGGAAATCAACTTTTTTCATTAAATTATTGCACATTAATATATTATCTAATATATAGTTCTCAACTGACTTATGTCATTTACAGTGCTAGCGATCGCTTTTCCATATTCTCGTATGGAACAGTACCCGCTTCTGTGTCGACAAGACACCTAAAAAGTATACTATTATTATTGTTCGCTTCGGAGTTGACAGGGTCCAGAATTCCTCCTGAATTCTGGAAAGCGGGGATCGGCGGAGGCGCCGTACTTCCACAAGTAATCCAATCTGTAACAAAAATAAGAAAAACCTACTTCCTCTCCAAGAGAGTGCACCAAAAAAAATCTAGCTTTTTTATTAGTAGTTATTAAATATTTTATTTTTATATTTTATGTGATATAAATTATTATTTACATATATATGTGAAATATAACTAGAAAAAAATAGGAGAGACTCACCTTGATGTCGCTGATACGCCGATCGAGTTGGATAAAAGAAGAAGGTTTGTTAGGCAACATTGGCCTTTTATAGACTCCACAGAAGGGGAAATCTACAAGGAATCGCTAACGGGATTCAAAACTACCAAAATGGTTTATCATGTTATCTTCCAGTGTATCAGCGACATCTATGGGCGAGGCTGTTGCGACGCAGCAGGGTTGCACGCATAAACAATTATTAAAATATATCAAAACATTACAAAAATGTTTGACATTTCACAATCACAGGATATTATAGTTTTTTAAACCGGAGAACAGTGGTGATTGAAAGTCTTCAAAACTCACATCAAATTAGCGAGAAAGCTGTGTGAACCGGGCGCAAATAAAATTAATAACTTTGTAAGCTTACAGCTAAGTGAATCGATAATATAAAAGGTAATAAAGACTATCGATACTCAGTGCGGTATTAGTTATCGTTTGTAAAACAATTTTTTTTTGTATTTTAATGTGTCGAAATTTAAGGTAGTAGCCCGATGTGATGGGTTCAAAAAAAAATTTTAATTTTTATTTTATAATATTTTTAATAGAAAGAGCTTTCAAAAATATACTGTAAAATTTCCCGGCCGACATCAACATTTTTGAAGTTATAGCCACAAAAAGAGACCGAGCCGTAGGGTGTAATAGCCTATTTCCACCGGACGTTAAATGCATTTTAGCTTAAATGTATTTAAACAACGCATATAAATGCGGTAATTCCCAAGTGTTTGTTGTTGTATAAAAGTGTGTTAACTCACTTTTCAAAGTGAGTTAACTCACTTTCGGCAATTTAACAGAAAATGTTATGTTAACATTCGATGCTGTCACTAATGATGTAATCATTTCGGAAGTTTCGGTGTACTTCTTGCCAGAGTCGTGTATTTTCGGATTTAATGAGGGGCGAGATTTTTATTTTGCTTGGTGAAAATTCCTTTTTCGCATTAGTTTTAATATAAATACCTATATTGAGTAATTGGCGAAGAGAATGCTTCTCCGCCTACAAAAAAAAAAACTATAAGAAACAAACAAAAAACAATTGTGAAATATCAAACGATCCCCTCAACATAAAAATATACGTGGCTCTAGTAGCTATCAGCTGATTGCGCAAAACAAATAATTTGAGGGAACAAACAAACAAATATGAAAATGGAAACATGCATAAAAGCATATTCGTTTCAGCAACGTTTGTCCGTGCAGAAATAATCTGCACTTGCAAGTCTTAAGATTGCAGAAATAGAATTCATGATTTCTATAGTTGTGGCAAATTTTGTAAACTGTAAATGTAAACAAAAATCAGCTGTTTGAGTTAACTCACTTTCGGTGGAAACGTTTGACATTTCATTTACTTAACAGAGGGCTTAAATGCATTTAAGTGCTTGGTGGAAATAGGCTATAAAATTGGAATGAAGGTCAAACAGCCAGAGCCTACGCTGACATTGTAGACAATGCACGTATTATACGGGCGGAGAAAACTGCAGAAGTCAACAGTAAAAAGGCCAGAACTTAACACAGGGCTCTGTAAACCGCTGCAAATAATAATTCTGAAGAAACAGAAGGATTACTCTATGCAACAGGCATAGCTGATTGAATGATGTATGTAAGTAAATATTTTTCGTTGTCTAACTTTTAACGTGTTTTTCTAGAAACTAAATATGTTTTTAAAATTTCGGGGAAACACTGGCTAGAAAGTATTTTACCGATTTGACTGGAAATTTGACTTCTTATACTAGATACATATAACTAAATACTAAACCTATAAAACATTTGTTTTTTTATAATTTATTACTTTTTTAAATAGTTTTTAAAAATACGATTTTAAGTAACTTTTTTCACAAGTCCACCATTTCATGTTTTTATGCATGTTATTGGTTAGTTCACTACAGTGAACTATAAACAATAATAAGCTTTTCAATTTTTTTTTTAATTCAAATGACTACGAAAGGCTGTGTGCTTCCTTGAAACCGCTTAACGTTCCTTCGAGGACTCCATTTCAACACAAAAAGTTATGATAAAATCTATGTAAAATTTAGTAAACAAATTTTTTTTTGTATACTTGAAAGTGGCAATAAAAACATACAAAAAGTTACAAAACAATCACATATAATTTTTCTACTGAAAAAAATTCACGAAAAAACGTCGAAATTTCAACCCGCACACTGGGCTACTGCCCACACGACGCTAAATCACTAATTTCGGTCACTGTTCCACGGTTAGCATGTCAATGAATACTAATTAACTTTGAAGATGCCTCTGTGCAGTTGCTTATTGTTCTCGGAAAAATTATGGCTGCCATCACCGCGGACCAGAAAATATGATGTACCGTACAACGACGTAAGAGGGCAGTGGACTTTTAGTTAGCGTTTCAAATGTGCCTACTATCCATGGTCCTAATATTGAACACTACTATGTCGTGCCTTTGAGCAGGCGACAAAAAGCAACTCACAACAGACAGCAATCATTCTACGCGGCTTATACTCTCGATCTCTAGCAGCACTGATAAACAACTTCTTATGAAGGAACTATGAGACAGTATTTCAAGTGCTGAAGCTATGGAACGTTGAGCTAAAGCAATAAGGGAACAGTGACTATGCTGACCAGATTACGTTGCAGTTCACGCTAATAGAAACAGAAGAAGAAGAAAAGCCCACAAGTATTACAGAACACATAATATTTAAATTAATAACTGCAGGCAACAAGAAAAGTGAATTGCTAGTTTATTCTGCGTAAGCATAACATAAAAGATCCAAAAGAAAGCTTTACGGGATTAGCTCTTTTTAAGCCTTTTTTGTTCAAAAACCACTCCCTTTTATAACTTAAAATGTACATAAATGTTTTTTTCATTGAAAATCTCTTCTTAATTTGCAGTACACTGTTGAGAGGGGTGTTAAGATGAGCACAAAAGATGTGGGGTTTCGATTAGGGTTGTACCGTGTTTAACATACTGAGCCCCTCCTGTACAAAGTGTTAAATTTGTAGCACCGCAACTTCGATGTGAAGCCGATCTTATATGTTAATACGCCCAAATTCTAATGTTGATGTAAACTTTTGCGGTTTTCTGACTGACTCCGTAATAACACAGTGCAATATGGTGGAGATGCTCTGACGTGGTAAGTGTTTTTTTCTAATTTACGTTTTATTCATGTTTTTGTTATGCAGCCAAGAGTGCATGGCATGCTGCTGTTAAGGCCATGTTCTAAGGAAATTATAGGAGGCAATTGAATGGCCTGCTTGGGAAGAAACTGATTTCGAGGTAATCAGAGTATAAGTTAAAAATATCTTCTCGTGATTAGAGTAGTAAGATATTGACCGATTGTGGACTTTCATCTCGAGTGATAATCGCAGTTTTCTGTGTATTTTGACTCGGAGGGGTTAAATTTATATTTCGAATGGTCATTTTTTATACATCATGACTCTGTGAGACAATGGGAGTATTTCTTTGATTGATTCGGTCATACCGTTGAGTTGGACTTATGTGCCTTCTCTGGCAATATAAGCTTATGAGTTGAGATGTTACAATTTCAGAGTATGGGTTAACACAAGAAAATTTGTCTTTTAGCGCGGGTAGTATAACATTGAACGTGTCTCGGAAGGACGACGGCCAGTGATGGTATCCACCATAAGTATCAATGCTAAATTAATAATTTTATTTATGCCTTTGTGGAATAAAACAAATATCTGCTGACATGGGTAGCAGTCTGAGTGGCAGGTATTACCGTAAGTTGAGACGCAGATTTAAAGGAGGTCAGATGGGATACTTAATCGTGGACTTCGATCTTTTGGTATTATGCCATTTTATGTAATTTTAAATTTACTTAAGTACTTTTAAATAAAATTTCTTGTTTTTTAGCTTTCTGTTGTTGCTGCTGTTGTTGTTGTAACCGCAAAAATATTCTCCAAAGTACTTTTTGGGGAATGTTGCGGGAGTATAAAGATCCGACTGTCGATTGGTATGATGATATATAATATGTATGAGCTTGGGTGTAGGAGGTCACTACTTCCAAATACAGTGATTCTGAAATATTTACTGCTGGCTCTGAGAGTTCAGTTCTCATAATATGTATGTAGGTATATTTGTATAAATTCTTTAATTGGTAGAACTTCAACTCAAAGTAGAGCGAAGCAGATCAGTTGATGAGTTAAAGCATTGAGCGACTTTATCTTCAATCGATTTTTTGCTGTAACGCGGAGCTGTGCTTAAGAAAACACAAACGTGAATAAAAGAACATATCACAAGAGAGAATTTGTGCTACTCTTCAACCGCAAAAAGAAGGGATTTGCCGCGAAAGTTTTGTATGTATTTGTGTAAATGTGTGTAAGTTAAAGCTTTGAGAAGCCTTTGGATATAAGCTAAATTTGAATTTGAGAATACAATGAAAAAGTGTTAAAATTTCTTTTCTTTTATTTATATATGTATGTATGTAAATATGGTTAGCGCAGTTCCTCAAATTTGCAATTTTATTTCTTTGGTTCAATAACCTACTCGTACAAGATAACAGTAGAACAAACTTCCTGAATTTTAAATTGATGTGCTTTTTTTAAAAATGAACAAATTTGCACACAAACATATGTCCATATGTAAGTATTATAGTGGACCAAAATATGGTGGGGAGATATTGTGATTTCAACTTTTAGATTCGAGATTGTTAATTTGTTTGCAAATATAATATTTAGATTTGGAATTTCTAAATATGTAAAAATCTTACATTCCTTGTTTGTAAATATGTGGATGCACATAACCTGAGCTGGCTTGCTTTAGGCTCCGGTGTAGAGCACTCTAGGCTATTTGTCTGAGCTGTTTCTGCTGTTGGAAGTTGGCCTTGATATTGATGTTGCAGCTGCCAGAAATAAGAACGTTCTTGTTGTGTTCTTACGCTGATTTAATTTATGTTGTTGGCATATTAAAGTGCACACAAGAGATGTGGGGTTTCTATTAAGGTGGTGCCGTGTAAATCACACGGTTACGTAAAAGAGAGAATACGCTTTAGATAAATTTATATATGTATTTCGTTGTTAGGTTTATATAGTGATTAAATTTATATAGAAATTTATGTTTGCCATACATTCGTATATGCCCAGAATCAGGCTATGAAAATCTTTACAGTATTTATTTGTAGCGAATGCATTTAGAAAAGCATAATTTCCAAACCAACTTGGCACTAAAATATACTAAATTTGTTTCCCTATTAAAAATTCCAGCCATCATACCAACAATGGTTTGATTTACTCATGTGTGAAGGAATTTTTCTAATGCAATTTTTAGACGACTGCTTGCAGACAAGTGAGCATGCACATGCTCTATAAAAATGTATGTGCCATTTGATCCCATTTCACAAAAACAACTGTTTTAACGATGGTAGTTACCACACTAAGCTGCTGCTACGATTGAGTGAGTTTCGATGGTGACCTCTACTGGTTTATAATGGGTAATCCAAATAGAGGTTCTTTTTTCAATAGCCCTTTTTTGACAGATCACGCCTGGATCATGTAAAGCTGTCATGTTCGGTATTATTTAATATCTCATCATGGAAAGACTTGCGCCTGAACAACTTTTACGAATCATTAAACTCTATTACGAAAATTCAATATTCTGAACAATACTCGACCACGTCCACCACGCACTGAAGAAAATATAGTGGCCACAGCTGAGAGTGTATGAGTACGCTACTGTTCGCAGCAACTCGGAATGGCATATGGAAAAACTGAAGCCGCTCGACCTTTCCAAGCGACATCGCTTCGATCTATGGGGCCTTGAAAAGTTCTTAGAAGATCCGCCGTTTTCTAGTCAAATTGGGTTCAGCGGTGAGGCCCAATGAGTATGTTAAAAAAAAGCTGTCATATCATCCAGAAAAGAACACGGTTTGGTGTGGTTTGTGGGCCAATAAGAGGGTAACCGTCAAAGGCGACCATTATCGCGCCATGATTACCGACTATTTCATGCCTTAAATTGAAGCACGTACAAATATGACCTGTAAAAGTTTGAGTTAATATTGCGCAATTGAAGAAACATCCAGGCAGAAAACCACTAATTGGAGGAGGAGCTCGGCCGAAAATTTCTTCAGGGGTCACAAGCGCTAATTATATATAAATTCAATTTCTTCATTATCTTGATCCCCCCTTACGGGATAACAGTTTATTCAACAATGGCGTTTTAATTGTTCCTTCTCTTCGCTGTTTGGCGCCAAATGTAAATATCAAGTGAAAACAGGTCGATCGGAAAACTTTTCTATCGATAAGTCCTAACACCAATTAATCAAATGTTGTCATCGCTCATGCCTCCGATAAACGACTTGTAGAGTTTGGTTTTGGTTCACCGAGAGTGGACTTTACATTTCAACTGCCTACTCAGTCCAAAGTAGCACCTCTTGGTAAGAGTGATTTCTAGGCTTATATTGTTGTTGGTGGTAATGCTGTTCCTTAGATAGACGAAATTATCTACGACCTCGAAGTTCTGACAGTCAACAGTGACGTGGGAGCCAAGCTGTAAGTGCGTCGACTGTTTGTTTGATGACAAGAGATATTTCGTTTTGTCCTCGTTCACTACCAGACCCATTTACAAGGTATATAAAAAAAAATATTGCATATAGTTGGCAACACCTGCAAATAATTTGCTGAGAAATATTAGAGGTGTTATGAAATTGGAATGGAATTGGTTTCGCATCAGAGTTGAGAATTTCAAACAAAATGTATATCTGCTTCGAAGAAACAAACTTCAATTGCTACATTTCCTCACTGTTCGGCGAGCTGCTGGCAAATAACAATTGGTAACAGTTCTTAATAATTTTCACTTAACCGTCCTCCTTGAGGCAAGAGGCCAATGCGACGAGTTGCATCAATAGAACGTTCAGGTGTTCCTTCTTTACCCTAAAATACCTTTTGATTCATGAAAAACTTACATACAATTCGCTTTCGTCGACTTAATTTCGACTCTGTTTGATAAAAATTTAATTAATATGACGGCTGATAAATTGATCGTCTCCACTTAAACTTGAAAAAAACAATCTCATTTGGATTTTGGTCACACTAGGATTGGAACCCGGATTTTCCGAACGTCAGTAGGCAATGCTAACCACTCGGCTATTGAGGAACAGTCTAAGGGGGTGGAAGATAATGTTGAAATGTATTGCGATGGAGCATTAGGCTCGTTACAAAAAAAAATGCCATAGGAGGCATTTGACGATATACAGACGTCAATCGCTTACTAAGCAAGATAGCATAGATGGGAAGACGCAAACAGATCGTTTAGTCAGATATCTGATCTGGACCTTCAGAAGGTCAATTCCGTGTCACTTCGCTGATCATATATGCAGAAACTCAAATAGCAGGAAGCAATTAGCCAGTGAACAAATTTTAAAAATATTTATTTTAAGAAAGATTTTAACCAGTACAAACATCATACGAAATCTGGTAATGAAATTATACTAACAACAATTTGTGAAATTGTAAGACACCTCCAATAACAACCGTTTGACGCTGCTACTCAGGCTGCCTGATGGAGTACTCCATTCACAACAGGACTACTTCCACACCAGACGTACATCGGCATGAAACAGTAGAATTCACTGCAAGACATTCAACCAACTCAAATAAACAAATATTCCTACACATAAAAGCCAATTTTGAATTTACGTCAATGCGGATTTACTCTTGTTGCATTTGCAACGTGCCACCATTTTGCCAGCAAACCATTTTACTATGCCAAATGATATGTGCGAGCGAGTGTGAGTGTCGAAGCGCGTGTATGTGTGTGTGGTTTTGTCTATTCAGTGTTAGTGGTACCGTTGTTGTCATTTGCATTCATATTGTTGTTGTCGCCATGTAGATTCTCGGTATGATTAGGTATATGTATATATGTATGTACATACTTATCAACTCTTCAAGCAACTGTATTTGAATTAATTTCATTGTTGTTATTGTATTGTTATATTGCTGCTGTCATTGCTAATGCTGCCATTGTTGGACTTATTAGGATAACTAACAACGTTGTGGCATTATTTGTTGTTGTTGTTGTTGTTGTTGATGTTGTTTCAGCTTATACTACTAGTAGAGACATATGTATGTGCATTTGTTTATACGCATGTATGTATGTAGTATGTATGAACATGCCCATTTATCGACATATTCGCACGTACATACATACGTAGCTACACCCACGTGCATTCTGTGAAATTGCCAAATATTTACCAAAGCAGCAAAAACTTCCCATTGCATTTACATTCATTATTGCCAACAAGCTTTATGGCCATAGAAACAACAAAAATCTTGCATGCAAATTTGCTTGCACAAGCAACGAACCAACGACGAGTGGGCTTGTCGCCAGGCGCCTAAATTTGAATGCTACATCTGTTTGTACTTGTGCAGATACGAGGGTTCCATTAAAGTGTTGTCATATGTACAAACATATGTACACTTCATGAAGATCGAAACACTTTTGCCATGCCGATAGGTTCATCTCGACAGCACATTGACTTGGAAATTAGTTATTTGATCTATCCCCTACAACAGTATGTGCGTATAGACATTAGACCATTGTACCCATTAAGCTTTATTGATGATTTGTTGTTGCTGCGGCCTGTGGAAATCGCGGGATTATAAATTTTACGATATTATTAAAGTAATTAGGTTACATTAGATAATGATAATCACGGTCCAACATGTCGAGATGATATTTCTTTCACTGATTTCCTACCTTCTCACTTCCTAACGCCACACTGAAAATGTCAGATGAAAGCATACTCGACGATTGGAGCCTAAATGCGCTGAACATACC